CTATTTATAGAAGTAGGCCGTCCTCTGTGAAACTGAGACAGGGGTGGCATAGGAGAATCTGATTCATCATACGAACGGAAAGGCCATTATTGAACTCTACTTTCCACAAAGGCACGTTTGTTCTCCTCCGCTGGTTTCTTCCTTGACTTGTGCATTCATCCTCTTTCTTGCTGGTTCTCTTCACTCCTCACCCTTCATTGTTGCTTAATGCGCGTTTCCTGCTGCCTCTGCAATTCACTTTGTTGCACTAGACTTGCTTTAACTTTAATCGGTTCAATAATTATATTCTTACTATTTACCTAACCAGTTAGCATTATGCTACCTAGTTTACCAAACCTACATATTCTCGTAAGGTCTTCTTTAGATTGATATATCGAATGTAATTAATTTCGGCAGACGCTTCGTCGTGATCTCGGAACAACATTAGAATATCTTACAGATATCAAAGCATATATGTGATATTAATTATACAAGAAAATAGTGCGCATCAATACGAATGTATCAGTTGGACGCATTAAATATTCAAGAAGAGCGGATTATAAATCATGTGAAACATGAAAACTGGCTTTATTGATTTGGTTCGTGCACGTCCAAGGACAGTAACGTTTTCGAGAGTTTTTTAAGACAAAAGTCGATTCTCTTGTTGCCTTCTAAGTCACTCTTTGAACGTAGAAAGTCCTAAGTGGCTAAACCCTTGTGGGAGACAGCTGCATCAGAAAATATTAAATTTGCACAAACCAGCATTGCAAGTTTTAGCATGCGGTGTACCGTAAGACATGATATGCGAAATTAGCAGTAAAAAAGTGGGTTGGAGAAATATCACAGAAATTAAATAAGCTTCCTGCAGCTTTCCCTTTTCTCGTATATATCATTCATTGCTCACAGGCTGTCGAGCTTTTTGGAATAGTTTGGCACGCCCAGCTTGCAATATTATTCCTCTCATTCTTTTCAGAGCACTAATATTTTTAAGTCATGTTTCCTTGCTGTAACGGTGTGAATATTTAGTTTAATTTAATGGTTTATATTTAGTTCTCACGCTTTGCATAATTCTAGAACATTATAAAGTAAAAATTTAGTTTCTGTATAATGGGCACAAAGAGCATTAATCCATTGGCGAATCTGCATAACACCAGGAAGCAAGAAAGCAGCTCAGTTATATTTGTTTTTATGGGTAAAGCTTCCAATGGGCAACAAAAGCGTGATTCTGTTAAAGCAATATATCTTCTAGCTAACACTCCTCCTTTGGTTGGTTGATATTTACAACTCGTACTTCTCTGGTCTTTAGCTTTCCACCATCAACAAAAGAGAAAAAGAATGAATTCTATATCTTTCTTTCAGGGATATTTCAACAAGAAAATATCTATGCCTCACTATACCTGGAAAAAAAAAAAAAAGGGAGCTAAAAGTAAATTAGATCACTTTCTGTAGTAAATCCTGGGAAAAATGACCAAAAAAAAAAGTTAAAAATTACTAAATACCAAATAAAAAATGTCAACAAAAATTTATTATTATTTATAAATTTAGTATTGTTAATACTAAATAAAATATTGTTACTGAATTTGATTTGAGATTTAGTCATTTCCATCTTTTTTTTAAAAATCCTGTTACTTGGTTTAGCACTGCTGCTTGATTGTAAAACACTAATGTTTTGTAGATAATCGCTAATCCCCCCAACTTTTATACCGTCTTTCTCTTGAAGCTTCGATTAATCAATCCTCGTTAAAAAAAAAAAAGAAAAGAAAAATAATCCACATGAATCTGGCTTAAAGCACATGAAAACCAATAATATAAGTACTCCTCTGATTCTTAATATAAGACCCATTTAACTGATTTGATTAGATTAAGGAAGCTAGGTAAGTTAGTTAATTATAAGAACAGTAACACATTTTTCCTAAAACACCATAATCATCTTTCTTAATACCCCATTTCGCTCTTCTACTTAATTATGGTTGAGAAAGTATCCATAGGGATAATTTAGAGAAAATTGATAAATATGATAAATGAGTCTTATATTTAGGACTAAAACCAACTCAAGAATTAGGTCCTATTAAGGACCGGAGAAGTATTATAAGATGCCTACAATTGCTGTTTTAATTAACGGGTTGTTCTATATGTGAATTTTCAAAAATTCAAGGGATGTGTGAAAAAATAATCAGTGAAAATTTGTAAGGACGGAAGAGGAACCTTATTTGAATGATGGAGGGTGATACAGAGTTGCGGGGTGGAATGTGTAAAGGACATTTCATTGTCTGGTGGGTTCTTGGAATATCGTGTAGCGGAAGGCTTGGGCAGGCAAACCGAAACTGTTGCTACTCATATAGCAAGGAAAATAGACAACACAGAGAGAAATAAAGTTGAAAGTAAATAATTGGGATCTAAGTTGCTTTTAATTTATGCTCCCCCTTTTCTACTTTTCTATCTGTAGCATATATCCAGTATAGTAATTGCAGGGATCTTTTCTCCAATAATGATTACAACGAAAATAAAGCCATATAATTAAGTTAAAAGGATGGTCTCTTTTCCTTGTTTTCCAGTCGTGAGCGTGAAGTTCCGGCCTTTTCCAGATAACTGCGGTTCCCTGTTTCTTTTAATATGGACTTTCTTTCATAAATAAATTAAACAAGAAATAAAAGCAAAAGGAGAATAGTAGGTAATAAGCTCACGGGATTTAGATTGTGGGAGGTAGCCTTCCTCCTTTTCAAGTTTTCAGGGTTTGTTAGCTCAGGAATATAAGGTTTGGCACATGTCCCTTGTTGCGCTGTCAGGTCTTAACACACCACGCCTGCGTACGGAATACTGGTCCCCCCAGTGTCTGATTCCCATTTCGCCGTTTTATATGCGTTTGACCTGATAATTAGTTCAGTAATTTGTAAGAATTAGCCTTTGATGAAATTTTTTATATGTATATCTATTATAAGGATTATTTTAAAAATAATAAATATGAGAGATAAAATAGATTGAAAATTATATTACCTCTGGTCCTTAATATAAGACCATGTTTGACTTTTTGTTTGGTCCTAATTATAAGACCACAATCCATTTTTTCTCTCATATTTATGCATTTTTTTTCAAGATAGTCCTTCTAATAATGATAGTTCTAATCAATACACTTAATTAGCAATGATATTTTAGGAATGAGAACACTTATTTATTACAAATAGCTAACTTAACTTACTTCCTTAATCTCCTCAAATAAGTCAACTGGGTCTTATAATTAGGACCGGAGGTGGTATTTGGGACCAAATTGAAAGTCAAACTGACTCTTCTATTAAGAATTAGAAGTGGTATATATTAGACGAATTATCACAGAGTTTTCTATACAGTACAAATAATTTTAAAAAGCAAATCATATTATTTATTATTTATATATAATAACTTGATATCTTATGGGGGTTCTAAAGTAACTATTATTGCTAATATTTGAAATCAGGATTTCCACCTTGAGGATAAAGCCTTCCCATTTCCATAATTCAAATTTGTCTTCAATTATTGGATTTTTTTTGGGCATGAAACAATCAAATTTAGATAATTATTAATTATCAATTAGCATAGTCATGATGTTACCAAAAAAATTGGCATACTCTTTTTTGGGACTAAAACGGGAACGTTGACGGCCCGTCTTTTCGAACTTTTGGGCTAACACCTTCAAAATCTCTGGTCCTGGGTTTTTTCACAGGCCGACTTCATGTCCAAGCTGATAAACCCAAAATTCTCTCTGATCCAATAAGACGACCTGGTCCATCAATCATGTTTTCGGCTTTTCGCCAGTTCCATCGACACTACGTCGTCTCGAAGAACCGATGTGGATCACCGTGGTCGGGATCACCTCCCCACACGTGTGAGGACTCCGACGCTCGTCTATAAACTCAGGTACTTGCTGTTCCAGATAATCCCTGATGTTCCTTCATGCTCCGGTATTCAATTTAAAAAGTGTTTGGATAGATAGAAAGTTATAATTTTAAAAATATTTTTATAATATACGAAATAAATATATGAAAAAATCTATATCATTGGTAAAAAAATGATTTTCAAAAATGTTTTTTTAGAGTTAGGCAAACACCCTGTTAATTTCCAATTACTGCTGCGTATGGTGCGGCGCTGCTGACCTTATACATAGTCTAGGGTTCTCCAAATGTCGCCAACTTTCTGACCATCTCCCAAAACGACTTCCTATGCTGGGTTTTCATTTCTTTAGTTTGCCCCTTTTTAAATGGTGAAAGATGATATCTTTTGAGGTCTACTGATGTTTCTTTCATTCTTTGCACGGTCGCATGTTTATCGTCCTTAGACCTTCCTTCCAGTCGTGAACATGTCTCATAACCTTTATCACTGCAGTGGAAACTACTGCCGTGGGTGAAATCATAGAAAAATTGTTGGCAGGATATATTAATTAATGAGTTCTACAATATTAAAGTACTGATAGAATTCTAAAAATGGATTCTACTATAATTTCGAACATGATGTTGATCTATAAACAATCCTCACTATGAGAGCGCATGAACTCTGAAGAAAGAAATGAAACTCGAGATAATATTTTGAGACCATATATTGATTCTTGCACGAGATTGCCACCATCGTGTAATTCATTTAGAGCTGATTCACGCTATCTCTGAAAAAAAACCAAAAAAGAGTTCAATCACTCTATCGCTCTGAATACAGCTCTCGAGTATGTTTGGATGCTATGAGGATGAATATTTTATTCTAGGGGCCGTAAACACAGACTCATTCACTTGCGTTGACGCTTGCCTGTCGTGGGAAATTATAGTTCCAAACCCTGCACTCATAATTTTATTTTGTCTCACAGGCTGTGATTTTGAACTGATCATGCTCTTTTTCTGAGTGTTTGACAAAATCCAATGCCCAATGGTGTTGAATTCAGATATTCAGATTTAGGTACAGCTTTTGATTTCTGAGCTGCATGATGTAATACATCTATGCACCTACTCTGTTAACAATCTTTGTGTTGTTTGTTTGATTTTCATGACCTGGGTAGATACAAAATGGAATATCTGTGGACCGAGAGTAGGCAGGAAACTGGTGCCTGTGACAGGATGCAAGTTGGAAATGAACGGGTAATAAATTAATCTTTGAATCAAGTTGACTCCTCTTTGGTTTGCTCTTCTCTGGATGTCGTTAAGAAATTCATCTTGTAATACTGTTAAAAATTATTTGTATATCATGTCAATTGGCTTGTATTGTAAATACTCAACCATCGCTGTGATTTTCTACGCAATGAGCTGAATTACTTTTACGGACGCATGAAGACTCCCTTAGTGATGATATATCTGGGGGTTTCTGGTTGCCAATCAACCAACGGCCAACAGAAAATGTTGATCTGGATAATGTGGAGCAAGCATCATTAGACACTCAGCTAACATCATCAAATATCGGATTCAAGCTTCTCCAAAAGATGGGATGGAAAGGAAAGGGTCTTGGAAAGGATGAGCAAGGTTATTGAATTCTTAGAACACGAGTGATGTATTTTTATTGGTTTTGTATATTTGTAAACATCGAGGAAAGTGATGTTTCTGACATTTAATACTGCAGTTGACCATCTGCATATTGTAAGTTGCCATTATTTTCTCAAGTCTTATCAATTATTTGATCTCACTGAATGATCCGTATGTGCGCTTGACTTTGACTGTAGGTGGGCATTTGTCCAGCTCTTTACTTTTCTTTCCCCCTTCCTGTTTTAATATTGGGCCGCTATATCTGCAGGAATTACTGAACCAATAAAATCTGGGATAAGAGATCCAAAATTGGGAATAGGCAAACAAGAAGACGACTTTTTCACTGAAGAAGAAAATATCCAGCGAAAGAAACTTGATGTCGAGCTAGAGGAGACACAGGAAAATGTGAGGAAGCGGGAGGTATGATGTAACAATACTTTGTAGTTACTCTTGGTCCCAAAGTCATGTAGTACCATAGGTTGATGTTTTAAATTTTCTGAAACCTGCACCTATTAGCAGAAGGCAGCATATAGTCTATATGCTTGTCTTCTTGACTGGATGGGCATGTCATAGGGAACCATCAACTTCGGAAGGTCTTGAGAATTTCCTGCAGTTTATATTACCTGGTGGCTTCTTCTGCCTGCTTCGTGCACATTATCAAAATCCAGGTGTTAGCAGAACAGGAGCAAAAAATTCAAGCTGGGGTTAAAGTGATACCAAAACTTTGTTATTGTGATCTCTGCAACAAGCAATACAAATTAGCAATGGTATTTGAAGCTCACCTGAGCTCATATGATCACAATCACAGAAAGATAGGCACTTGGGCAACTTAATCTAACTCTGATGTCAAAATCAGTTCTAATGTCCCCCCCCCCCCTACTGATGCAACTTCCCTGATGGGGGCTACAGCAGGGCTTCAAACAAATGAAGGAAATGCATGGTGACAGTAGTCGGGATGAGAGGCAAAAGCGAGAAAAACAACGTCAAGAGAGAGAAATGGCTAAGTTCGCTCAAAGGTATCCTTTTGCTTTGGTACGTGATATTGTGCTCTTTCTCAAGCGTCGTATTACCTTCATTTTCCCACCCTATTTTTGGTTGTAGATGGGTGGTTGGTGAAGGAATTAATGTCATCTTGGTAGCCTTCTTTTCCGTGTCATGTTGTGATTGGATTCTTTCATGTCAACCAGTGCTGATGCGCAGAAGCAACAACAGATTCAACAGCAAACGGAGAATCTGGCCCTGCTTCGGTTTCCTCTGAATCTAGAACTGCTACCGCGCATGCTGATCAGGACCAGCGGAAGACTTTGAAGATTGGGTTTGCTTCGAAAGGCAGTGCTTCCAAGGTATGTCCAACTAAATATTTGATTATAGTTACTGAATTTTTCTCATACATAATTGAATGAATGGAGGGTTTTGGGAGGAAGCCGACTATGCACCCCATGATGCTCAGCCATGCTAGTGTGTTTTCCCCCCATACGTTTGCTTGTGAAACTTGTTTACTGTACACATGGTCTCATTAGTTTTAGCCCCTCTAATCTGTTCATGTTACTATGAACGATATGTGTGGCTAACACTATTCTCATAATTTTTCCTCATCCAATCCTTATAACTCATCTGAGGGATCTGCAAAGAAGCAAGAAGTTGCCATGTCTTCTATATTTAGCTGTGATAGCGACGAAGAGTAGTGCAAAGATGCTGTTGCAGCCGAGGGTCAGCCATGTAATATCCTGCGTGGTTTTGTTTTGTATCTACTGGTTTTTATCTCTATCTCGTGGGTGCGCCACTTTGTAGACTCTAGTACATTCTTGAATTTATATTTTTTGGCTTGGTGTGATCGATGTCAGCGTTTATTGTTGTCTAAATGCTGAAACATAATTGGATGGCCGGGTTGAGCCTTGGCTTTATTCTTTGGGCGGCCTTATTATTATTATTATTTTTTTTGAAAGCAATTGGGAAGGCAACACAAATTTTATAATTATAGTAAGGTGGAGGGTGTCATTTTGATGAGAATGAGGAGGAGGGTTTTGGAAAAAGAAAAGGATGGATGTGCGGCAGTGAGGGACTTGGGACACTATCGACCCTGGGATCCCTTCAATTATCATTTATTTGTTAATATTCTGTCATCACTTTTTTAGATCTTGTTTCCTTACATTAAATGTATTTAGTCTCTTGATTAATATTCATTACATATGTTACGCACCAATCTCGTCGCACAACCTTATTTAAAGCGTAATTTCACCTAATTTATCGGGTCTTATTTTTTTGACCTGAAAATGTTTAATTTGCAAGTGTATTGGAGGACGTTGCGCGGATGAATTTTACATTGACATGATTTATTGCGCGGAAGCATGACGTGTAAATAATAGATATATAGATCATCCGCTTTTCAGGCGACACATGTCTGTATTCCCAACTCATTTCCCCACCGTCCATCGTGACTCGGGAGTATGGCCACGCCATTCTTTTCCTCGGGTTCATCTCTTGGCGTGGGAAAACCCTAGCCCTTTTCACTCATCCTCTTCGCCTTCCAATGGCTTCTAACAACCACCATCATAATCACAAAAACGACGATAATCACCTCAACGGCGACAGTTCCGTTTCTCACGTACCCAAAAAGCCCAAGCTTGGTTCCTTCATTACTGACTCCGAAATTCAATCCGAATTCGCTCATCATGACCCCGCCGTTGCTCGGATTAACAACGGTAGCTTTGGTTGCTGCCCCGCTTCTGTGATTGCCGCTCAGCAAAAATGGCAGATGAAGAATCTCCGACAGCCGGACCATTTCTACTTCAACGAGCTCAAGAAGGGGATTCTTCATTCCAGGACTGTTATCAAGGAAATTATTAATGCTGACCACGTCGATGAGATTTCTATAGTTGATAACGCCACCACGGCTGCTGCTATCGTCCTTCAGCAGACTGCCTGGGCCTTTCAAGAAGGAAAATTTCAAAAAGGGGACGCCGTTGTTATGCTTCATTACGCTTACGGTAGCGTCAAGAAGTCAATGGAGGCCTATGTTACGCGCGCCGGAGGTAAAGTTATTGAGGTTCAGCTGCCTTTTCCTGTGAATTCTAATGAGGAAATTATCAGTGAATTTAGGAGGGCGCTGGAGAGAGGAAAAACTGACGGTAGCAGGGTTAGGCTAGCTGTGATTGATCACGTCACTTCAATGCCGAGTGTGGTTATCCCTGTTAGGGAATTGGTAAAGATTTGTAGGGAAGAAGGCGTTGACCAAGTTTTCGTGGACGCAGCTCATGCTATTGGGTGTATTGATGTCGATGTGAAAGAGATCGGAGCAGACTTTTATACCACCAATTTGCACAAATGGTTCTTTTGCCCGCCTTCCGTTGCCGTTTTGTACAATCGGAAGTCGCCTAGCTGCTCTGAATTGCATCATCCCGTGGTGTCCCATGAGTATGGTAATGGGTTGGCCACTGAAAGTGCTTGGATTGGCACAAGAGATTATAGTGCACAATTGGTGGTTCCCGAAGTTTTGGAATTTGTCAGTAGATTTGAAGGCGGTATTGAAGGAATCAAGAAGAGGAATCATGAAGCTGTTGTGGAGATGGGACGAATGTTGGCCACGGCGTGGGGAACCCATCTTGGTAGTCCTCCTGATATGTGTGCGAGCATGGTTATGGTAGGGTTACCAACTTGCTTGGGTATATCGAGCGATTCTGATGCACTGAACCTAAGAACACATTTGAGGGATGATTTTGGCGTTGAAGTGCCTATATATTACAGGCCATCAAAAGATGGGGAAATTGGATTAGTGACTGGATATGCCCGGATTTCTTATCAAGTTTACAACAAAGCTGATGATTATTACAAGTTCAGGGATGCAATTAATCAGCTTGTGCGCAATAAGTTCACCTGTGCCCTTCTTTCTAATTGAAGAGGTGTTCTCTGAACTCATTTGGATAATACATCGCTTTGTACGAGGTAGTTTCTTATTTATTTATTTATTTCATAATTAATATTTGCAAATATATAGTTCCGACTGGACGTAATATAATTTAGCTCTGAAATTGGCGATGGCCGAATACGAGGTGCCAACTGCCGAGTCCAATGAGGATCTCCTTGTTCTGAACGCAAATACTACTTGGATTTAGCAGATGCTGAAATCCACTGGATCATACATGGCTTGACTTAGCATCGATTTGGGCGTTTCTTCCATTTTAAAAACTCGGTAGTGATTGTGCGGAAATGAGTAGCTTATATCCTAGCATTTTCCATGAACGCTTGAGAAATTACAGAACTTTAGTTATGTTGCATTCGAATTTTGTCCGTCTATACGTTTCAATTTCAGTGTTATTTAACCCTTTTTCTCATCATAGACCCTTAATTTATAGAAGCGTGACTTCTACTCATGTCTTGTTTATTCCTATTTTGTATGTGTGGTAGATCGAAATCCCCCTCCTCAGCTTCTTCCTGCCAAATATAGAGGATATATCATTTATATTATGAAAGACAAACTGAGGTTTGAACTTCCTTTTTTTTATTTTTAATTAGATTTTTGTCATTGTTATTATCTTATCTCCCGAGTCTTGATGGAGCTTTGGTGTTCTCCAGACTCCACTCCAGTGATATGCTTACTACTTGGTATGTTTTCTTTGCATGATCGTTTGTCAGAGAATCCCGTCGAAGTGGTTAGAAAACCGGGCTGCTTTATCATGAAGTATCTATTATATTTGTCTCATCATCTTACAGTATCATTTTTTTTTTTGTTTTTGTTTTGGGAGCCCAACATGTCTCTTTACTCCTTTTCCAAAATAAGGTGCATGTCCTTGCAGCGATTAGCAGATAAGATTCAGCGCTAGCGAAGCGTATGTTGTTTTTTTTTTTTTGGTGACAGTATGTTGTCTTTTTTTCAGTAACTCAGATACGTGTTTGGTTTTTCTGGTGACTGGCGGCTCGTCTTGTGTTTCCTGCTCCTTTACTTTGAACAGATCTAGTTCTATCAATTGCGTCTTTTTCATACTTATTCTTGCCATTAAAAGCAATATAACTTTTTAAGATACAGAGATTTTATTCTTGGTCGCTTCAGTCAGCTATGTGTGATAGAATTTTGGACCTGCCGATTACAGGGATACTAAAGTACAAACCATGCTAAAGCAGCGAGAGGCTCTCGCCTTATTTTATGTCTAACCTGAGGACACCCCTTTATTTTCTTTATTGCAATTATTTTTTTCTTGTTATTTTATTTATTATGGATTATGGATACCGTGAAGAATGGCAATTTGCTTATGTGCAGTGCAGGGAAATGGGTGTAGGAATGTTTCAGATGAATAACGGCAACAATTCAGTAGGTTGCAAATGTCGGTTATGATGGTTTTGGTACCATGGAGTTTCTAAGTAGTAGAGATAGTGCTGCAAGTACGTGACCTAGCAGGGGGAGCTGAATGACCTTAGGAGTTACGTGGATGTTGATATGGCGGAGCTATCCTTGTAAACATGTATAATAAAAGATTCTTAGGTTGTTTCATGCTTGTAACATCCACGGGGCCAGTTCATGCTAACATTCACCCTAATCTCATTTTCATTTGGAATCTTCGTCGTTTGAATTTTAGGAATCTGGAAGACTGACATTGCGTTCTTGGTTACGTTAGCCCGTTCACCGGCTCTGCGGAACTGCATTTGTTTCCAGTCTATCATCTAATATACAGAAGGAGTCGTGCTGGCATGGTCTTGGAGTTGGAGGACGAGCTATGGTTTGGACCATTCGTGAAAATCATGTTTGGAATAAAAACCCAGGCAAAATAATCACGTGCAAAACCCAGATTCAAAACAATATAACCAAGTAGCAAAGGTTTTTTTTTTTTTGGCCGGAAAAGGGGGAAGGTTCTAAATTCCTATCTCGGATAAGAATACGATGGGTTGAGGTGGTGAGGAGTGCGGGTGAACTCGCAGGACGCAAAGAGCAACTTGTGTGGGTATGTTTAGATTGATGTCGGGTAAAATTGACTTCTAACCCAACTGATTGTGTAATTAAAGTTAGAGTAAAAATCAGTTAGTGTAATACGATTTATATTTGGATAAATGTTTTTAAAAAATCAGTTGAAAAAGTTAAAAGTTGTTTGGATAATTGATAGAAAAGTTAGTTTAGTTGTAAAATGACTAAAAAGGGTATGGAGTAGTATTTGAAATTTTATGTTTTTAATGTGATAATAGTTTAAAAAACACGTAAAATTATTATGATAAAATATAAATAGTTTGTTTGTAAAATTATAAAATAAAAATATTTGTTACGGAAAAAATTTGAAAACACATTGTAAATAATTAATTAAATATATATAATGGATAAACATAAATATAAATTAAAATTCATTTGATCTCTAATTAAAATAAATGGAATCATATAACTAATTAGGTCGTAAGTTTTACACAATTTTTTCATAAGTCAGTTAGAAAAGTTAATCCAGATTACATTAGATAAGTCAGTTAGAAAAGTTACTTTTTTTTATAAGTCAGTTAGAAAAGAAGCTCTATCCAAACAATCTTCTGAACCACGATAAGTTACAAACTTCAGTTTTATGTTTTTCCGTGTGCTTTTACCATCTGCAACGGGCAATCCAAACTAGGCCTATGGGCTTGTCAGTTGAAATTGAGGCCTACTGTCGTGCCCGAAAAGCCCAACTTTTCGTTTTGAATTTCAGCCTGAGGGCTCTACGTGATGAGCTTCCTTGTATATGCACGTGTTTCAAAATGATTGGCCCAGGCTAAAATTTGGTTTTGCCGCGCTAGGTCTTTGGTGGTCATCACCATGGGACCCTAGTTGGGGCTTCGGAATTCATCACGTCGCCAAACCCGAGGTTCGAAAACTCCGCACCTGCGTTGACGAGCCTAGCTTCCAATCCGAACCTAACCTCTGCTTCCTCCCTTTCATGCTCTTGGCATGGCGCTTCCAACAAGCGTCTCTCGCTTACAGACAGCACAAGGAGACAAAATGCATGAAATAAATACCAAGTTTAATCAGAAAATACTTCACTTGTGCACTTAGGTCCTTTTCTTTTTTATTGTTACGGATTTCCAGCAGATGGTTCGAGCTGAAAAATACCGAAGATCGAAGACGGAGACTGACCGTAAATGAGGTATTCACTGAACGTGGTATCTCTCCTTTCAAACCATTATCCGCTAATCGATTTTAAGATTCTTTGCAAACCATGCGAGCTTCATGCTTTCTTGAACCTGTTCTTAATGTCTCTTTCTTCCCTGAAATTGAGGGCGAGAGTTGATGTTGTTCTTCCCGATTCAGGTCGAACTTGGGACGTTCCCCTGGGGGAGGGGTATCTCGAAACCTGCACAGACTTTCTGAACTTGTGGTTCAAATCTTTTTGAAACTTCACAAACAGCAACTCATTAATTTTCATTTTGTCTTTCTCCTGTTTTCCACGCTCCTTCATTATTTATTGTTCGACGTTGACAAACAGACCCACGGTGGGCCGTTGTTTTTATGTCATTTTCTCGCCCTCCAGATAATATTGGATTTGGAGGTGGATATTTGGCCTGCTGTGTGCCTGTTGAAATTAGTTAATTTTTATTGGACTAAATTTCCCCCACCCCCAAAAACTATACAGTATCTGGCAGTGAAGACCGCCTCGATTTGAGTTGTTGTTTGAAACCTTTCCTTGCAAAATAGTACGATTTCCTTGCAAGTAGAGCCTCGTCCTAGCTTATTTTTCTTCTAAACTGATATATATCTTTTGTCTTGAAGTGCATTCGAATCTGATGTCCAGCTAACACATCTCCAGGCGGAACGGCGATAATATGTTTCCTATGATAGACCGGAAACTGCTGGTCTCGTGTTCGTAAAAGTGGATTCAGAGCATTTGTATATTGAATTTAAAATTTCTATTTTATTAACCATGTCAACCTTGGAGAAGCCATCGTCGTCCCAATCTTTGCCGTTGTCATCAGTAGCAGCTCGAGATATTGATCCACTGATAAAGGATTTAAATGAAAGGAAGCAGAGTTTTAGGCGCAACGTGGTGTCATTAGCTGCAGAGTTGAAGGAGGCGCGGAGCCGCCTTATATCACAAGAGCAATCATTTGCCAAAGAAACCCTAACAAGACAGGTACATAACAACTATATGATAATAATAATCTTGAAAGTTGTAAGACAATCATTTCTCCTTCTATTTTGTGGCTCACTGGGGACAAACTTTAATCTAGATATATTTTATGAATTTTTCTCGCAGGAAGCAGAGATTAAAGCCAGAAGCATGGAAGAGGAAATTGGTAGGTTGCGGAGGAGATTGGAGGAGAGAAACGAGCAACTTCAAGCTTCAGCCGCTACTGCTGAGAAGGTTTTGATTTTAATCATTTTTTTTTAACGTTTCCTCGTTTAAAAAACAATCTCATTCTAATCAGAGTTGTTCAATTTTGTTTGCACATATGAAATTTTAATACAATTCTCTATCTTATGTAGTTTGTATTAACCTATTTTTGGTCATAAACGAACCGTGCATATTCGATGCTTATCTGAGCAAATATTTTTTTCATATTCCAATTTCGTTTATGGTGGAGCCCATGGGAAGAAAGGGTGACTGAATGCTTTGGTGTTATCATTATGTTGTTAACTCCCCGTTAGCCTGAATTATCTTGTAGTTTATGATATTTGCTCCTTGAAGGTGGCAAATTCTGTAGCCACATTGTCAACAGGATTAGTAAAATATTTTTAAATTAAACGGCACCCGATTGTTGCTCGTTTAACTTGTTACCTACCTTGATTTGTTTTGTTTTGTTTTTTTTTTTTTTTTTGCGCACATCCTCGAACAGATTTATTTGCATAACAGCTTGATCACTAGATCCGAGTGGCTTTGCCAATACTGTGCGACCAAAGTGAATGTCTTTATTATTTTACTTTTGACTTCTAACAGCCACTAAACTAAAGCCAAGGTGCAACGATTTCAAATTCTGCGGACTTTTCTACCTCCACAGCTGTACAGCATATTTCACTGTGGTGGACATTATTTATTTGTCTCTGTTTTCTCCCCCCCCCCCCCCCTCCCCCTCTTTCTTTTCCTTAGGTTCAACAGTTTGTTAGGCGTACAGGGCTACGGGCATTAGATCTGCCCCGAATCCGGAATTCCTAGCGCATTCTCAGTTTCTTGTCACATTCAACGATATACCGTGCACCTTTTTTTTTTTTTAATTAATGTAATAAAACAAAAATGAAAATTAGACGGCGGATCTAAAATTACTCTCTCTCCCTCTGGCGATCTATACGCATGAATGTATTAGGACATCTGGCATGAAGGCAGGTGAAAATTGTTGATCGAATCAAGATAGATCATGAGAGGCCTCAGGCACTCTGACATTTATAACTAGACTTGAAAACAATCTATTGTTAACATTAAATCCTGTCGGTGAGCGCACTCGTTTGAAATCTCTTGTAATTTTGCAGCACAACGTCATTATAGTAAAATCACAATGAATCGTGTTTATTGGTGGCAGCCCAATTAGTAACGTGCTTGTCATTTATTAACTTATCGTTTAATTTTGATGCAGTATCTAAATGAGTTAGATGATCTTGGAACACAGATCGCAGCAACTAGAGCAGCTGCTGAGGCAAGTGTCGCATCAGCTCAATCAGCAGATCTCCACTATGCAGAACTCGCCAAAGAATTATATGAGAAAAATCGTTCACTGAAAGAGCATGAGGTTTGTGTCATTTGGATGGGACAGCAAGTAGATAATCTACAGAAGGATCTTCAGGCAAGGGAATCTTCACAGAAGCAACTGAAAGATGGCATTCTGCAGATTGAACACGATATCATGGAAGCCTTTGCGAAAGCTGAAGCGAACAAGAACTGTAAATTGAGGAAAATATTAGGTGAAGTTTCTCCTATGAACTTCGAGAAGATAAATGAGCTTCTAATTGTCAAGGATGAAGAAATAGCAAAACTTAAGGATGAAATTAAGATCATGTCTTCTTGTTCGAAGCTCAAGATTGAGGAATTAGAATCACAGGTAAATCCAGCTTCCGTCTGCCCGCGCAAGTACTCATTTATTTATTGCTTTGTTTATGTTCTTCAAGCATCATGGCTCATGTATTTATGAATATCCGTGTGTTTTAAATTACAGTTAGAGAAACAGCGGTGTGTTGATCAGGAGCTGAAGAAGAGGGTGCTGAAATTGGAATTTTGTCTGCAAGAAGCCCGTTGTCAGACGCGAAAGCTTCACAAGGTAAGATTTTCGCTCTTAGCTGCATAACATCTTTTGTTCTGCGTGATTTGTACTCTACGGTGCTGCCATTACAATTTTCAGGATTTGTTTTATGAATTGCTGTTTGAGTCAGGATATACATTGAATTATGAAAGAGTTGGTTTCATTCTCAATGAGTAAGCATATAAATGAATCCACGCCCCAGCCAAATGACACGTATGATATATGGTTTTGTGGATACAGATGGAAGAGAGACGGGACAAAGCTATAAAAGATCTGAGAGATCAGTTAGAAGCAAAACAACGAAGTGAAGTGTGTGCAGAAAAGCAAAACCAAAATTTCTGGGATTGCTCTGGATTCAAAATCGTGGCCTCCATGTCCATGCTGATCTTGGTGGTGTTCTCGAAGCGGTGATTGGGCCCTCAATGTCCTTTCCGTTGTGAAGTAGTTCAAGATGCAAGGAGTCCAGGGAAGTATGAGAAACCATTTTGCTGGTAGAAACTAGGAAAGGAATACTGTTTAGATATACAATAGTTTAGCTGATTAGCTTCAGCTTACGCCTTTAAGATTCTAGTGTAAAATTACAACCAAGTCTGATTAGCTGTGCTTGTGCCGTCACTCTCTGTCTTTTTGCGCATTCTCTGGGATGAGTCATGCACTTCATAAACGTCAGCTGTTTCTGATAATTTGGGTCTTGTCTTCTGTCTTTCTCAGTAAGCGTTCACAATTAGCAACCAACGCTGAAGTGATAAGGTGCTTCTGTGGAGGACCCTCGATTTGGGATCTCGGACAGGAACGGACTGATTTGCCAACAAGATACGAGAGTGCGTGGTTATACGCTTCAATCCTACGACTACCGAATATGTGACATGCCCGTTCGAAACAGAACTTGCTTATTTGATAATTGGAGCAGATTGGGTTTTCAAGCATATGGGCGGACAATAGTGTGATATGAATGTCAATCTCCCATTTATGCAAATGAATTTGAAGTAGGTCTGTCACCATTACACCTCACACTAATGACTAATATACTATAGCTCTTACAAACGATGTACATTACCACAACCCGTGCAGCAACATAACAGCCCAGAAGCCAGAAACCGCAATTTACTTAAATTCTACTACTAGTACACTCACCCAAGTCATAATAATAGAGCTACTGGTCGTCCTCTTCTAAGTGCGCATGTTGAGGTTCGCAGAGACCAACCATATCAGCAGAACCGTGAGGGCAACAAAAGGTCTGACACCACTTGAATGCGACCAGGAAGTGGAAGGTGGGCTTTGCGACCCGACAAGTGGCATATATCCTGACGTCGGATTGCTCGAAGTCAACGGCGCCGATGATGTCGGGCGACCATAACTGCAAACAGTGATAACACGCACACGCTAACGTTAGCATCCATTGAGGCTTAATGGTCAACATTGGAGAATTGGTGAAACCATGTCACTTTAACTCACCCAAGAGTACCTCCTCCTGATGATGACGGTGTTGTTGGAGTTGGAGATTTCGTCGGTGATGACGACGACGACGACGACGACGACGACGCAGATGTTGGCGGCGGCGACGAAGAAGATGACGACGGAGTTGTTGGCGACGACAACGACGACGAAGACGCTGGGTAAACGCAAGAGCCCGTGCCTATTTCAGGGGAAAAATGTAGTGTACTCAGTAGGGTGAATCACACACGAGACAAGTAATTATGTGGCTAAAATAACAAGATCAAGCTTACTAGGGTTGGTGGTAACTAAGGTGGCGGTGCCTCCGAAGTCACAACTGGTCGGAGCGGGGTTCTTTTGGTAGTAGGCGTTGAAGGCAAAAGATGCGTGGTTCTGCAGAGTGTCGGGATTGTAACAACTCCCTCCCTGCTGGATCTGAGAGCAGTCGATACCTCCCATTCCACAAGCATAGTCAAGCGCGGATTGAAGAACAGATTGTGAAACTCCAGATTTAGCCACACACCACTTCTGCCCAGAAACGGCAGGAGCAGCATTAGTCCCGGATGGAGGTGGTGGTTGAGAATTTGTGACCGGGACACCCGTCGACGACGGAGACGGAGGAGGATAAGCCGCAACCGGTACGGGGGAATTGGAGGAAGGCACAGTGACAGGCACTGCAGATGGATTGGTGGGGTAGACAGTGACAGGATTGCTGGAGGGCACAGTGATGACGGTGGTGTCACCTAAAGTTCTTCTGGGGAGGATCTTGCCGATGATCGGAATGTGAGAGAGGACGATATTGGCGACAGGTGGGGCGGAAGAGTAGCGATCGGAGAAGATGAGCAGCATGAATCCTGAAAAGAATACGAAAGGGGAGTAAGCAGAGAATAAAAGAGTGACAAGTAAAGAAGAGGGCGTGAAGAGTAAAGGACTCACCGGAACAGTAGAGAAGGAGGAGGAAGAAAGAAAGAGGAGGTTTGGCCATTGTGATGTGGAGAAGGGGAGGGAGAGCGGAGGTTTAGATTTCAGAGGGAAGGGGGAATGGGGAATTAAAAAGACAGAAGGGGCAGAGTGAGAGGGGGAAGATGGAGAGGGAAAAGCGGAAAAGTGTCGCATGAAAGAGGATTGTGAGGATAAAGAAAAACATATTACTTTGTCCTTAAGGATCACGCCCTTGGAATTCTTGTCGTCTCCTGTAATTCGTCCTCTTTTCTTTTAATTATCTTCTTTTTAAGCCCCTCAATTCATATTTTATTTCCTTCTTTGGCGAGTCCCTAGTCCCTACCCGGTTCATCGCGCGGGCATCATCTCACCGCTTATTGCTGTGGTGACATTTGGATTATTACGGCTGATTTTAAAAGGGTTCAGCTTCCTTTTTGGCGATGGCCACTGAAAGCGGTGCTCCTACTGCTGTGCTCTCTCTGCGTTGCATGTTACCCCGCATTTTCTTATACCTGGCTGAAAAGTATTAAATATACCGATCCTTGTCAATATTTTTAGGAAAAAGAAAAATTCCTGTGCCATCGTGTCGGCTAGCTTTTTAACCGTGCACAGTTTTTCGAGTGAAGGATGAACTAACGTATCTGGATGACGACTACCTTTTTACTGTTTTTTTTTTTTTTGCCATCACCTTTTTATTGGTTAGAGGAAATGAATTTCCCTGTGTTGCTATCAAATTAGATCCAGCCATTACAGTGCCTGTTTCGTGGGGGCATTTGATGGACAAAACAGAAATTTATAAATATGATAAGATTTGTGACAAATTTTAGCTAATCTGACTTATGAATTAAACGTTGTTTTTTAAAACTTACATATGGTTTATGCAAAAACAATTTTTTACAATTAAAAGACATTTTTGCTATTATGTTTATGCTATTGTTACACCTTTTTTTAATATATTTTTTGTGATTCCCAATAAGTTTTTAGTATTTATTTTTAATTTTTTTAAGTAAAAATAATTTTTAACAGTTTTTACAATATTTTTAATTTTTTTAAATATTATTTTTATTTTATATGAATTGTGTAATATTATTTGCTTTGAAAATTTTGACATTTCTAATTTAAATATATTTTATTCATTAAATATAACTTCATCCTATTATGATAATTTAAAATTATTATATTTTGTTAATTCATATTTTTAATTTTTTTATTATTTAATAAGATTATTCTGCAAACTAAATTTACTTATTCAATCACAATTCAAATAATTTTTCTAATTTACAAATTAATTTTTATAAAAATCAATCGAAATATAAATTATGTTACCTAATCTTATTTTTATTCAATCTAATTTTTTAAAAAAATAAATTAAAAATAAATTATTTTTTTCACTGCGAATTTGAAAGACGGATGGTCCTAATAAATATATGCGGTTGAAGGTTTGTGATTTTTCTAACAATTATTGGTGCAAGGAAATGGGCGAGGCCTTAACGGCTATATCGCCTACACACACACATCACGTAAAAAGACCCAGATTTGAAGAATATGTCATATGGGAGTGGGATTATCTTCTTTTTTCATTTTTCCCCTATGAAGAATATCCAGCATCACGTAGGAGATCGGAGGAGGAGAAAAGACAGCCCATGTGGGTTTCAAGTCAATCAAATCAGTGTGGGCCCACCACAAAAGCAAAGGCAGCAATTAAAGAGATCATTTATGAGTCACAGGCAACGTGTAAAAGCGAGATCCCACTACTAAAGTGCTCCCACCCACACACGATCCTTCCTACTTCCTGCCTACGTTGGGCTTTCACCATACCCCGTGCCTTTACTGTAAATTTATTAGCGGGCGCATAGCTTTATAGCTGTAGTTTAGCCTACCAAATTAAAATCAATGCTCTTCGACATTTATACCTTTAATCCGCCCTTTCTTAACTGCAATACATTTGTGCGGTTCAGTTGCGTCTTTCTTGACTAAGAATACGCGTAGTGGTGAACTGTCTTGATTTATGACAGATCCTACGACACAGATACAGAGTTCCCACTTTTTCAATTCGGGAAACAAATGGCGATTTATGTTGCGCGTACACTTCTGCTTGGACCAAAGGAGCAAGATCATGAAGACACATTGCTGCATAATTAATTCAGGTCTATAGAAAAAAAAAAAAGGTGATATGATTCGACATGCTAACTACTTCACTCATGAGAAACACTCAGATAACGCTGCGTACTCCCACACTCAAACTACACAAAGAAAAGAAAGTTTGCTGTGCTCGCAAACTAGAAGCCCTGGCGACATAAGAATAGGAACAAACATACGGAATGCCGATAGTGTCAAATTCACTCGCGCGCACACGAACAAGCTGACAGAACATGAAAATAAGCAGTGACCAGTTTGAGGTGGCTTGGCTGGCTTGTTTATACGTGCGGTGGGGATCCCACTCCCACGCCTGGGTTAGCGGGAAGGATTGGGGTACAGCTTCCTGGGAAAGTGCAGAAGAATCCGGCAAAGCCGCCGGGGCTCGGAAACGTCCCCCCGCCTGTCCCCGTGCCTCCTCCCAAGAAGCTCTGCGGCTCCTGAACCTTCAGCTTCCGTCCTCCCTCAACCTCCGAAGCAAGCACCACCATCACCATCATAGCTAGCGCCACCAACACCTTAAGCTTGCTTACTCTCTCCATATTTCTCAGCCTTCTTCAGTTCTTCTTCTCTCTGTTTTTGAAAATGCCATTCCCCTCCTTCCCAATTTATATTAACCTTTAAGCCTTGAGTTCAAGGATTAAGTGATATTGGTAGGGAATTTAAGACTGCCCCAACTACCCAGGAGCAACGGTCATGGGGCCCTTAAAATCTTCGGACGCGCTGACACACCCATTAAATTACGTTTCCAAGTAATTGTTTAGATGGTTACTAACATCTCCATCTACCTGACTGTACCATCTTTCTATAACAAGGCTTGGGAAAGCTAGCAGCTCTGCTATATGTCTCGCCTAGCTGCCCTTGTCACAGTCCTATGATGCGTTTGATTTTCTGTAGAGCTACAGATCTGAATCAATTTAACCTCGGATCCATTTATGTATAAGCGCATGCTAATACCTGCGTACACAATTATTTCTTCCTTCATCCCATCATTTGTTTAGTTTGCCGATATTATATTTAGATGTGCAGAACAAGTCCCAAATTGAATTACAAACACGTGATTTCTCAGGACTTTAGGGTTTTATTTCTGGCATGGGCTCAAAATGTAGTTTCATGCATGTTGATAGGTGGCCCAGCGACGGATTCTACCGTCTTCAAAATCAATTCAGCAGTGTTACACATGATTTTGTCGGAAAAGCAAAATATTACAGTTATATAATTTGCCTACAGGGCAAAAGCAGCGTCAGGTCCCGTAGCTCAGTTGGTTAGAGCGTTGGTCTTATGAGCCGAAGGTCGCGGGTTCGAGCCCCGCCGGGACCAATGTTTTGGCACGCGTGAAATGCTAAGCTCCAGCCCACGATAATGATGCTCTTCTAATTCTAAATTCTAATTAAAATATAAGAAAACGCTGTATTTGTTGACGTTTTGTTTTCCGTTTCATTGCGTGAGTACTCCTGCTCCCAAATAGACATTTAAAATCCCTTTCCGAAGAAGCAAGTGAAGCAACGAAACCGCAGGAAAAAGTTTCATCGTCACATGAATAATGGCATTCAAATGGCATGATAATAACGTGGTCGGTGACGGTAACTAATAAAATTGAATTACCGGAAAAACTAATCATAGACGGCATCATAATTATGAGTTCAACTCATTTTAATGCAATATGTGATGAAAAACCTGTAGAAGTGGATTTTTATGGCCTCAAGAATCAAGATTAAGGTGTTTTTTTTTTTTTTCCTTTTTTGGCCAACATTTTGATCATGTTGCTTAAGAATGTTGCGCGATATTCAACAGGCTGAATCCTTAATCATAGATTTATGTTCTCGCTGCATTATTAATCAAACGGCTAGTTCAGAGCAAAATTTTCACTCTAGTTAAAGGCTCAACTAAATTTTCAGTTCGAATTTCATCATCAACTAATCATAATCTAAATATGAAACCCGAACTCCTCGCAGGCTGGTCCTTGATAGAAAACCACAGGGATATTGACACACTTTTAAAATGTCATCAACTAAAATTACAATTTTCACAAATTTCTCACGGAAAAAGATGCAATGACAATTCATGTTCCCATGGCCATGAAGGCACATAAAAACACAACAGTTAAATCACACGAGGGGGTAAATATAAGAACAATTTGAGCATCTACCCCCATTTCGCTTCACCGAGTTTATGATCTCTCTTTTTTTTTTTAAATGCCAACAGCTTCACCGAGTTTATGAAAACTACCCCAAGTTGGGATGAAAATAAAACACATAATGGGGCAAATGATTGCGGCTTTATGCTTCAGACATGATGCAATCAATGGCCTGTTTGCAGATGATGGTCATCGTGGCCTCCGGCCCGTAAACCTGAAACCCCCAGATTATCACAATCTCATTACAGTCGTAATTAATGGTTTTGGACCCTCAATAAAAAAATAGATAAAAGACGTCATTTGGAGGAGAAATCTCGACAACTTTAGAGTTTCCGTTTTATCATCATAGAGGCTTTAATACCAAAGCACTGGGTAATAGTTCCAAGGTTCCAAGATAACATTTAGGATCCCTTTTTGAGCACAAATCAGCAGTCCACAGAAGCTGAGGCAAATGTTAGTTTCAGAAATAACTAGAAATTACTACGCAGCGAATTCCGCCCATGAATGGTAAGCAGATGAGGATAAAGACAGCACACTTAAACGCAAATGTTACCAACAAAGATGGTCGTTACCTGAATTGGCACCCCCAGTTCCTCACCCAGGGCACGCATCTTTGCCAAACCGATCTGATAGTTTGGACCACCTCTTCTAACATAAATGTTCATTCTTGCTGCTTTAAGCTTTGACTCCTGAAGGACGATGGGGGAAATCAATTAATGGTAAACAACCTAACTTCAAGAAGTGAGATAAGGATACATCTAATTCAAACATGCCTTCTCTTTCAGGGCTCGAATGATCCCACTGAATGTGGCAGCAACATCTGTGAAGTTTGCAATGCCACCTCCAATAAGAAGGGCTCTCTTACGACCATCAGGATCTGCAGTAGCACACTGCAATAAAAAGCACAATATTCACACAAAATATAATTTGATGAAGTCACTAACTAGGACAAAATACTGAAACTGAAGTTAAAAGGAAACGAATCAAATTGCTTTACATCAATCACGACTCTTGCATACTGCAGCACCTCCTCCTCATTTGGAGCTCCACTATACTCAGCATAGTTGCCAAGCTCTGATGCATAACCTAAATCTCCAACCTAGCAAACAGAAGGTAAATTAAGTCACCACAATAACTACTGACCTTCCAATAACCATTGTCTGGTTCCTTGGCTTTAGGATATATTAGGATAAGTCCATCAACTTGGCAACTTACAGTATCGGCATAAATAACACTTGCACCTCCTCCAGCTACCATTGTCCAAATACGTCCTTTTGGGTTCAATACAGTAAATTTCAAAGATGCACTTGTCTGCAGTATGGAAATGAAAGTATATTATACCAATATTGAAGGCGGAGGAAGCCTGGAGAACTGCATCCCGGATTAATCAGAATTATGATAGGAAAAAAAACCTTCAAATTCTAATGACATGTTTTAAGTTCTTAAGATTTGCCCCAACTCTGACTGTTCAAAAGCGCACAGTATGATACATACTTCTGGAGACGATGTCTTAATACAGCTAATGACATATAAAATACACTAATAAATAGAAAAGATATAACTTCTTAATCAATTGCACCAGTGGCTCAGGCCCAAAAAAAAAAAAAAAAAGCTGCATTAGAATTAGAGGTTAGTGGACAACGATGTTACGCTCTCATACTTTTTACATTAGTAAGATCATGAAAGGTCAATCGAATAACCATATATATTGTAAGGAAATCGTCAAATGAAAAAAGCCTAGTTGCAAGGCTATCTCGTGCAAGAAAGAGATTGCATATACTGATATAACGTTAACTAAGTAGATAAAAGTGAAAACAACCTTTTCGTCCAGGGAATGAATGAAACTTTCTGCAGGGCTCAGAACTCTTCCAAAAGGCAATGGGAACTCTAAATTACCCCACCTGAATGCATGACATTGTAGTAACAGGATAAAAGTCAGGTATATGCATATACAGCACAATCTTCAGGTTGAACATTCTTAGCGTCTATATCAAAAAAGTATACTTCTTGAAGTTCTTGAACGCGGCAGTATCATCCAATTCACCTCTCATATCCAATGGATATGGCTTCTCATCCAGCAGTGTAAAGGGATTCATCTCTAGGAAACTGAAATCCAGATCTACAAAGGAAATGGGGAGAAGATTAAACCTGAAGATCATTTGCATAAAAACATGTGTCATAGAAGTATTTATTAATGAGCAAAACAACATGTAAAGGAATCACGTCTTTCATGAAAGTGATTAGTCATGTTTATTCCTACAGATTATAACTAGGAAAAGAACGATATTCACAAGTCTCTTAACTAGCCCTGCATGATTTGTCAAGATAACTGACTAAATGTTAAATATAAAAAGGTCTTAGACCCTGCTCTTTTTCCGGGGGTCATGTTATGCCCAGTGACAGAACACAATAGTTTCCACAGAATTAAATTCATACCTTGAAAGACAGAAAATACACCCATTATGAAATCACCAATTTTTCCCCGGACCTGAGAAATCACCGGCAGAATAAGCAATTTCGAGATGACAAGTCAAGCAATGTAGGATAAAAAATGACAACACCAACAAGATTTAGACTATAGGTGCAGCAGACTGAAATCTCTGATAAAAGATAGTAGTGTCTAGCACCAACAGGCATTACAATCATCCCTGTTATCAGGCAGTGAATTGTGAACCTTTCACCGGTTTCTTTGTTTGTAAGAGGGAAATTGGTACAAATATCAGAAAAGAACATCGACACTCACCTCCAGAGGAAGCGTAGCTATCAGAGGAGCACATGCCTCGAGTGTCAAAGGTTTCTCTGCCGGAAGGAATATAGTCTTAACCTGCATGAGATAGCAGTAATAAATATGTCAGCCTAATGAAGATGCATTTGTAGAATGGTAGCACAAATATGAGTGAAAATACTGGCACCGCCAATGAAACAACTTCACACACACACACCTTATCCCAATTCGCTTCAATCTCGATGCCTCCGAATTCTGAGAAGCTGATGGTGCAGCCCAGCCTTTCAGAGACAATTGATAGGTAATACTCTTGGTCGTGAGGAACAATGGTTCGACGATAAATGTGGTTATAGGTGCCTTGCAGCCACCGATTTCAACCTAACGATTGTCCAATACAAAATTCAGGCAGACGAAATAAAAGAACCAACAATCAAGACTTCCCGCGATATTCGTTTCAGCAATAACCTCAACACCAAGGCGAGCTTTAACAAATTCTACCACTTGGGCAACATCTAGATTCAGAGCCACGAAGCCACTCTTCCCCCGCTTGCCGAACAACATATCGGGCTTCACAACCAATTTTGTGGATGAAAGCCATGGTTGTTGATTAGTCAGCTCAGCAAAGTCTGTCGATTGCGTCACCTGGATTACAACGTGGTTTAGTACAGAGCAGATAAGGGATGAACTCAAGACAGAGAACTTTCGAGTGACCATATAACTCTCGCCAAATAAATCAAAGGCTAACAGTTTTCTTTTACATGCAAATAGGTGATGACGTGTTAATTAAAGCAGTCAGGAACAGAGAAGTCTGAGGAGTTCAGACTGCGATGTTAAAAAGCGGGAAAAGTTGGTGATTATGCAGACCTGAGCGGAGCGGATATTAAGATCAATGGCTGCGACTCTCTTGAGGTGCTCTTTGAGGAGCCTCTTAGAGTCGTACTCTCTGATCTTCTTCCTGGCCATTGCACGACAGCCGATGAGGTTGAGCAACGATTCGAAAGGATAAAATAAGGAGGGGACGAATGACAGAACGGGAGAGGTTGGGAGGGATGGCGACGGGGACGGAGGTGACGGCCTTTGTTCTATTAGGTGACGTTGGAACCGATAAAGAGCATTCGACGGCGGTGGTTCCTGGCTGCAGCCGCGGAGGTTGGTGCCTGTCTTACGTGTCTTGCCAATATTCAATCTCAATCCAAATTCATTCCCCTTGCTTCCGACTAGCCTACTTCCCCTCCCCATCAAAATCCAGTTTCTTAGATTAATATTTTAATGCTTCCGATTTAAAATTTTTTTAAATTAGTATTAACATATTAAATTATAAAAATAAATAAATTATAAATTATAAAATATATTAAAATTTAATTCTAATGATTTGTAAGTGTAGTAAATGTTTTTAAACTTTTTTATAAATGATTTTTAAAAAATTAAAATTAAAATTGTTAAAATATATTAATCTCATGGTTAAAAAAAAAAAAAAGGAGAGAAGAGGATGGGAAGAGGAAAGGTTCCGAATCAATCAAAATCACCGTCCACCTCAGCTTTACAATACTTAATACTACACAATAAGGGAAAGTTGCAATAAATCCCAGTTAAGGGGATTAAATATAAAAAAAAATTTTAAAATCATTAAATTATTCTAAAGTTCTAAAAAAATCTTATTGTAAGAGATTTTATTTGCTTAATTATTAAATTGTTTTTTAAGTATGTATTGACAATTAAAAAAGTAGTTGTTAACAACTTAAAATATAATGATTAATAATTATCGCGGCAAGTATCAATAACATATTTTCTCAGTACATCATAAAAATATAATGCATGAATTGTCAGTAGCTGCTGCGATAGTTATTAATCGTTACACCTTAAATTGTTAACGACTATATTTTCAGTTGTCAGTGTATACTCTTAAAAGAAAAATAAGAGCAATATGATAATTAAATAAATAAAATCTCTTGTAATGAGATTTCTTAAAACTTCAAATTAATCTAATAATTTTAAGATACATCTTTATATTTAATTATTTTAGATGGCACTTTATTGTGATTTTTCCCTACAGTAATTGTTGAAATGCATACTACCGGATAGAGAGGGAAAACTAATGCAGCTACGGAAAATATACAAAACATTTACTTCCAGTGAAAAATGAAAGCAGCAACTCGACACCTACGCGTATTAACATTTTAATAATAAATCGCATCAATTCGCATAATTATGACGGGGATAATAACAATAATAAGTAAAATCGGGCCAACTCATTTATTTATTTATTTTTGACAGTTTTTCCTGAACATTTAAAAAAACCAGGGAGGAAGGGAGTTAATTTTAAGAACATCAGCAAATTTTAAGCAATTTTATAAGTTTGTAAAAGAGGGCAACAAGTGTGAGGATTAGATGAAAATAATCGAATGTGGGAAGGTAATGCAATTTTCTCCTTTCTTAAAGCAGATTCAGGCAATGCGGTTTTGATCAGAGCTCGTCCTCTCAGGGTGCTCGAATATGACAACTGTTCCTTCACAGCGAAGGCCAGCCGGCCGGGAGAGGTGGCGCCCTTCCTGACCGGATCCTTAGATGGCTCCGTACGTAAGACACGTCAGAAATTAATGCGCGAGCCTTAACCAGAGGAGAAGACCAAGGGCTCGCCAATCAAATTCTCCACTAACTAAGCCCCCATCTGGAATTACTTCAACTGCTTACAGGTCATTTCAAGCGGGTGCAAAAGCAAAGGGAAGTGAAGGGAGTTAGGTATCGAACAGAGAAGTTAGATGTGGAGTGGTTGGATTCCCTGGCGAAGCGTTGAGGTGCCCAGCTCTTGCTGGCAACCACAACGACACTGCGTGAATCATCACACTAAATATTTAACATATCCTGTAACTAGGTCCGCAAAGTGATCATATCATTCAAAGTCCACACAGAGTCGGTGTACCGCCTTCACTCACTCACTCACTCACTCCCTCCATTATAATTTCTTCATTGTTAATCCGATCTCGTCACCCTACCTAATTAACACCATTTCTCTCCTCTCAATCATGCCTCCCATCCTCCTAGCCATTTGGTACCTCGTAACTTAATTGAATTTAAATAGTGCTACTATAATCATGTGATTATTGAAGCTTCATCTTGTTATCAAACCCGCACGTCAAATGAGGCACATATTTTCTCACTAGTTTTACAAAAATGTTAATATAATATCCGTTCTTTCAAGTTTATCCTCATTTTGGTTTTAACCCCTTAAGTTTCGAACTATAAGTTTAAGTCTCTCAAGTAGTAAAACAGTCTAAGTTTTTATTGGATTATATGAACTAACATTTTAAATGAAAAAAATTTAAGAGACTAAAACTTATGATTTAAAATTTAAGAGATCAAAACTAAAATATAAGAGTAAATTTGTATTAATCTTATAAAAAAAATATACATAATTATGACGTTCATGTGTGAATATTTCTAATAACCTGTCCAAAAGGGACTGGCTTCGTTAAGGGGGTCCGCGTGCAATGCGGGCTTTGGCTGGCGAGTTATTTATTTATTTTTTTTATAAAATAAAAAATAAAAATGACGCAGTCTCCGAAGTCACAGCTCACAAGGAATATTGTTATTGTTAGGCTCAATATTTAAAAGGGCTAGTTTCGTAAATGTGTTGGAATGCTGCCTGGTTTTCGGTTCGATGATTGGCTCTGCGGCTCAAAATTTTATAATCGCATATTCGTCATGTACCAATACTGGGCAATGACGATGGCTTTACTTTTCAGTTTCTTCCACGACTCGGGCGCCCCCTCTCGCAAAGACCATTATACCCCTCTTCAACGCCTGTGCCCCACGGTTCATATGTTTCGTTTCGCATATAACCTTTGTTACTTACTCTAACAGATCGCATGCGTCGTGCTTCCATTTTTTATTTAGTACATAAGATAAATTAAACTATTTGTTGTATTATAAATTCGTATTTCGAGTGAGGCAAGATTTGGACAACAAAAGGAAAATGCCCCTGGGTTTGGGGTAGAAAGGAGTGGGCAGGAGTGCCCACACAGGAAGGCGCCAAAAGCACTTCTTTTTCCGACCTTTTTTAAATACCAGAGAGGAGAAAATTTAAAGCAAGTTTGAATGGTCAAAAAAGAGAGTCAGGCCTCTTACAGTATTTTTCTTTTCAATTTAACGTTTATCAGCTGTAAATGCAATTTCTTTATTTTAAAAAATGCATAAAATAGTGTTCTTCTTTGACTGTCACCAGCGCATTATAGCACACCTCCCCACGCAGAAAAGTGGAAAACTGTTGCTCCTACTAATCCCCAGGAGGAAGCCGTGGATCTGAACTTCTGATCTTCGCCTTCTCAGCCTTTCTTCCAACTAGCCTGGTTGATTTCCACTGTTCTATGTTTCGGACGGTACTGTTTTTTTCCCCTTTTGTTTGTTATCTCCCTCCCTTATTTTCAGATATATTGCCGTTATTTTTTCTGAATTTTCTTCCTTCCTCCCACAATCTGATTCAAGAGTAACTGAGGCTTAGTTCAAGCGCCAGTTTTCGTCCATTGCTTTTGGGTACTTGGATCAGTTTCTTTGGCGTTTGACCTTCTCGGTTTAAGGAGATCTACTGGTTGTTTTAATTAGGTGTTTATTTTGAATTCTCCGAGACTGCTGATTGCGACGATGATTTTCCGGCTGATTCGTCTGTTTGGAAGGATGGATCTTTCTTTCTTTCTCTGTTTTTTTATACAGTGGAAGGATTGATCTTTCATCTTTGATGGAGAAAAATCGCAATTATTTTTGCTGAATATGTTCAACTCAAATTTCCTATTTGGGCTTCAGTTTCCATGTTAAGGGCTCCAGGCTACCCGCTGATCTGATCCCATTCCAACTGTGCTTTTGCAGGTAAATGAGTAGTTTGCACAAGTTCAGAGAGCCGGGAAATCAGTGAAATTTATTGGCTCATGGCGTCGCTTGGTGTCGTGCCAACGTCAGGGGTAAGAGAATCCGCTGGTCATACCGCAGGTGTTGACAGACTGCCTGAGGAGATGAACGATATGAAAATTAGGGATGATAAAGTATGTCAGCCAGAGTCTGTTTGCACATTTTTCTTTTTATTTCCCCCCTTTCTGTACGTCTTGCTGTTAGTTTCTCGATTTAATTATCTTTTGGTCTTTTTGATTACGAGTTCCAGACCCAGCTTCTCATAGCTTATTTTTCTCGCAGGAAATGGAAGCCGCTGTTGTTGATGGTAATGGAACGGAGGCCGGTCACATTATTGTCACAACCATCGGGGGTAGAAATGGTCAGCCAAAGCAGGTATGCCATTGTTTTTAAAGCCCTACAATATGCTGTATATCATTTGGAGATAATATGACTTCTGGCCCTGTCTCGACTGGTGAACGATTGATGCTCCAGTTTGGTGCATGGATGTCTCCCTTCTCCTGTAGCTGCATTGATTATGTATTTTGTGATTTTGAAGAAAATTACGATAAAGGTCCGAAGTCATTTTCTAAGAAAATATTTAGATATTGTGCCAGCTCTCTACACCCGCCTTGTAACTCTGTGCCTCTATCCAGTGAATAGCGTGGCATAACTATTTGCCGTATCAACTTGCCTGGGTCTTATAATGAGAAATATGTTATTTAATGGTTTCTAACTGATGAAGTACTACGATATATGATTGAATAAAATGATAAAAGTTATAGAGGATGCATCTCCCAATGAACGTTCTTTCTGATTTTCTTTTTGGGGTCCTTTTTTTTTTTCCCACCGCTAATGTTACATCTGTCTGTTTTAGACGATAAGCTATATGGCGGAGCGTGTTGTTGGGCATGGGTCATTTGGAGTTGTCTTTCAGGTACTGCTTCATGTCAAAAGACTGGATATTTTCGTCCTTGTGCTGATTTGGTCTTTTTCAAAGTTCATAATGTTGTGTGCTTTTTTCGGTTATAACTTCAGGCAAAGTGCTTGGAGACTGGCGAAACTGTAGCGATAAAAAAGGTTCTCCAAGACAAAAGGTACAAGAACAGGGAGCTGCAAACAATGCGTCTCCTTGACCACCCGAATGTTGTCTCTTTGAAGCATTGTTTCTTTTCAACAACTGAAAAGGATGAATTATACCTTAATTTGGTACTTGAGTATGTTCCTGAAACTGTTCATCGTGTGATCAAACATTACAACAAGTTGAATCAGAGGATGCCGTTGATATATGTTAAGCTCTACACGTACCAGGTATATTATAAAAATATTGTCGCTTTATCAAATGTGGGAT